AATAAGATGTTTAAGGTTTATACTTGGTTTACCAGGGCATCAGTCAGTGTCGCATAAATTGAAAATTCTTTAAATCATACTATCATATTGACCAATGCACTAAAATACTTCAATGATAGAATAGTATTTAGGTATAATGTACATATAAGAGAAACTAGATATAATATGAAGCTTCATTCCCCTAAAGTCACACACGTCTTGTTTAAAGGATCTTTTAGTTATTGTATTACAAAATACAAACATAATTGCAGATAAATTTAAAAATATGGACAAAATACGTTGTCGTAAGAATCTAAAAATGTTAATATTATCAGGAGAATCTAAAAACACTATTTTCTAAATAGGCTGATTTAATCTATTACTATTAATAAGTATTTATTATTAACTTAGAGAGGGTATCTATGGCTAAGTGTAACAGTTGAGTTGATTTTTAATGCAAGTGACCAAATTTCGTCATTTAATAATAATTAAAATATTGTAAATCTAAACAAAAGAAGCAAAAATACACATAAAATATGATCGGTCTTTCCACATATATACATAATTTTTTGTCAGCGATGCAACGTTTATTAATTAGAAAAAGTCTCTGGTTATAATAACAGCACGGTATTGAAGTACCATATCTCTATCGGGCTATATTATATGGCTTCCTGGTTTCCCTACTTTAAAATTTTGAAAAATTTTCAAGAGATTCTTTAATTGCTTCTTTATCATAGCCGTGTAATATATTAAAATGTAAATATTCAAAAATAATTATAGGTTTTCTAAAACTGTACTTATTCTTTAAATATTTTCTCTCGCAATTAACTTTAGTTAGTTCACTAGATTATATTTATAAGATATTAATTATATATTTCATTTGATTTTTATTTTTCAGTATCTAGCAGACACAGATGAAACAGATACACAAGGGCAAGCTTTAATACGCAGCATACGTACTGCATTGAAGTTAAAGGAAAAGGGAATAACCAAAGATGATATTGTTAGCAGTTGCACTTATAACCACAAAAATTCGATCATTCCTTTCATTGCATCACTGTTTCTTGGAATCAAAACAGCCCACTTCGATCCGAGTTTGTCTCATTTAGATACGATCCATCTACTGAAGCTGATTAAGCCGAAAATTATATTCGTCGCATTGGAATCGTTACCACTTATGGAAAAGTGTTTGAATGAATCTCAAGTAAACACAGAGTTGGTAGTGTTTGGAGAAAGTGAAAAATATTCGAACTTCGATGAATATTTAGACCCTAGTACTGATGAAGATAAATTTCGACCAGTTGTGGTTGACGTCTTGGAAACGGCTGTTATAATGTTCAGCAGTGGGACAACAGGCTTACCAAAGGGAATTTGTCTAAGCCATTATGGCATACTTGGTCAGATTTCAAATAAAGTTATGAAATTGTGGGGTAATACTAGAGAAAGCGTTTTATTGACATACACCACTCTGTACTGGTTATCTGCTGTATTTATGGTACTGAAGTCTATTGTTGAAGGATGCGCTAGGGTCGTATGCAAACAATTTGATCCTGCTGCAATGTGCAGGCTTATAGAAAAATACAAGGTAGATAGATATGTTTTTTATAATTTTCTTGACAAATAAATGTGTATTTAATTATATATTATTCTTTTAGATAACAAGTGTCTTTTTGGGACCATACCTTGCTTACGACGTTTTAGACGCCCGACAAAAAAATATAGATACCAGCAGCTTAAAATATATATCGATAGGTGGTGCCCCAGTGACAAAAAAACTGATGGATGAGCTAAGAGAGGCTTTTCCCAGCGCGACTGTTTTACAGGGCTACGCACAAACAGAAGCCTCAGGGATGATTTCTATTTTTAATGTAAATGATCCAAAGGAAGTAGAGTTGCAAACAATTAAACCATTATGCTCTGGAAAAGTTGTACCAGAATATAATTGGAAAGTAAGTTAAATATCTTTGTATAAAATAACACTTTCACTTAGCTAGACCAGACAATTAGGTACATACTCAAAATTGTTAAGTGCAGTATCACCAGTATCAAGCTTAATTTTTAAGATCGTACGATTAAAATAATTGTTGAGCTCGAACTACTCTGAAATTTTATACGTGCATAAATAAGAAGAAAAATATTTGTTGTTTCAGATTGTCGACCCCGTCACAGAAAATGTCCTTGGTCCAAATGAAAGGGGAGAGTTCCGATACAAAATAGTTTATCAAATGAACGGGTACTATAAAATGGATTCTTCTTCGGCGTATGATTCGGAAGGATTTATAAAATCTGGAGATATAGCTTATTACGATGAAGATAACTGCTTTTTTGTTGTGGACAGAATTAAGGAAATGTTTAAATATAAGGGATGGCATATTCTTCCCGCTG